TCTTCAACAACGAATTAAATTTGCAACTTACTCGGTCGATGGTTCTAGGTTGTAATAATCATGACAACATCTTTATCATCAACAATACAGTGTTTCATGAAAGAACTAACTATAATTAATTTATTGTTATTCCATTTGGAATGTTGTGCTTTCTATGAAAATCATCATCCCTTGTATCTTCAATTTAGAACAAGTGGCAGATATTTTTAAAAAACCCCAAGGTTCTTTTATCCTCTTAATTCTTCGAAAAGTTTCATTTAACTAAAAAATATGCTCCAGCTTTAGGCGTGTTCTTATAAGGAAACAATTATTAGGAAGGCTCTCGACTTTGTAATTAGGGTATATTCATTCTTTATTTATAACCAATGGGTTCTCCAGTGAAGAATAAACACAACAAAAGATCCTCCTTAACACCATGTATTGAATTCAATCAATATTATATTTATTACAATGTTATTGAAGAATATGATATACTTATAATGTAGGATTTGTGCTTGACATAGTAGTGACAATATTAGTTGAAATTTAAAGTGTGCTGAAAACTTGTTTCAATTCTAAATCGATTCAAAATCAACCCATCATTCAACTTATGTTAAAAGAAAAGTTCTATTGAGGTGTGACTCACTCGACTAGATTCATATGCACACACGTAAAAGCCATTCTATGCTGTTTTGAGATTGTTCAAATTTATTTTCTATTTAAAATTAGATATTATATTAATAAACATAAATAATTGTAATTTCCAACTCTATTTATATTATGAGTCATTTGAGTTGGCTTGGAATCAAGTTCAAGTGAAAATAATATCTGTTGAGTCATGCGTTAATAAATTTGAGTCAACTCGAACTAATTTTACGTCATCTTAGAAACAATTCATTTTAAGTCAAGTCGACTTAGCTCAAGCATCAATTTGAGTTCAACTTAATTTTGAGTTAGTGATTATCAATCATGAGTAAATAAATAATTTCCTATTACTTCCGTCCCTTCTCCTTAGTTTGTTGATTCAATCGCCACAAATTACATGACTGGCACAACTAATTTATTGCATAACCAACGACCGTATACTGGTACTCAACATATTCAGGTTGCCAATGAAAATAATATTCAAATTACAACAGTTGGTGATATTAACTCCTTCAAACATGTCTTGGTTTCTCCTAAATTATCTACTAATTTACTCTCTGTTGGTCAAATTGTAGATAATAACTGTGAAGATAATAACTGAGATAATAACTGTGACGTACATTTTTCTCGTGATGATTGTACTGTGCAGGATCAGGTGTCGGGGAAGGTGATAGCGAAGGGGCCTAAAGTGACAAACTATTTTCATTACAATTCACAGTTCCTCAGAATATGTCATTAACTTCTTCAGTTGTTGAGAATAAGACAGACATCTGACATAAAAGACTGGGTCATCCAAATGATATGGTGTTGAAACATTTAATTAAAAGTAGTGTTTTTCATTCTGCAGATAAAAGTTTAGTAGTTGATTGTTCTGTTTGTAAACTTGAAAAAAGTAAGACATTACCTTTTCCAAATTCAGACAATTGTGTTAATAAATGTTTTGACATTATTCATAGTGATGTTTGGGGAATTACACCAGTTATTTCACATGCTCAATATAGATATTTTGTGATATTTATTGATGATTACAGTCGATTTACTTGGATTTATTTTTTGAGCTCTAAACAGAAGTTTTTACTGTATTTCAAACTTTTTTTAGCATATGTTGAAACTCAGTTTTTTGCTTGCATAAAAATCTTACGATCTGATAATGGAATACATGTCTAATGAGCTTCAAGCATTTTTCCATAACAAAGGTATTATTTCACAACGTTCATGTCCCTATACACCGCAGCAAAATGGAGTTGCTGAACGAAAAAATCGACATCTATTAGATACTGTGCCCACATTACTGATAGAATCCTCTGTTCCAGCTAAATTTTGGACTGAAGCTTTATCTACTGCAGTTTATCTCATTTACCATCTCAACAATTGAAGTATGATTCTCCCTACTATCGATTTTTTGGTAAACATCCTAATTATCATATGCAACATACTTTTGGATGTGTTTGCTTTGTTCATCTACCCACTCATGAACGTCATAAGTTGGCAGCTCAGTCAGTACGATGTGCCTTTATGGGGGTATAGTCCTAATCATAAAGGTTTTGTGTGTTATGATTTGATTAATAGTCGCTGACATATTTCCCAGAATGTGATTTTCTTTGAGCATGAATATTACTTTCAGCATCATGTATCGACACCGAATACGGTTATACTTCCACAATTTGATAATTACTCTGCGGATAAATGGTTCATGCCAGACATTGTCTACACACAACGTCAGACCCCTTCACCTTCAATCCTCCACGACCCTAATCCAGAAATTGCTCCAATAAGTTTTCGACGATCAATAATAAGTCTTCGACGATCAACTCGGCGTATCCGTTCTCCGGATAGATATGATTATTCTGCAATTCTAACTAATACTACTGTTCATACCTCTTACTTCAGGCTGCTAAACAGGCTTGTTGGGTCAAAGCCATGCAAGAGGAACTTTAGGCATTTCAAGACAATCACACTTGGGATATTGTTTCATGTCCTACCTATATTAAACCCATTGGTTGTAAATGGGTTTACTCTCTTAAACTATCAATCTTGCCTTATATCTGTCAAGAGAGCCATAAGATCATAATAGTCAAATATTAGCTATTGTTGCATCTAAAAGCTGGTTCTTAAAACAGATGGATGTTAAGAATGCATTCTTACATGGGGATCTCAAAAATGTTTATATGACTCCTCCAGGTTTTCTACACCTTCACATGATATTTGTACGCTCAAACGATCACTATACGGTTTAAAACAGGTTCCACGGGCCTGGTTTGAAAAGTTTCGCAATACCCTTCTTAGCTTCTCTTTTATTCAAAGTCAATATGATTCTTCATTATTTCTTTGCAAAACAGACAAGAGAATTGTTTTGTTATTAGTCTATGTTGATAATATTATCATCACGGGATCTGACAATCAATTGATGTCTCAGCTACAAAAACATCTTCAAGGTTCTTTTCATATGAAAGATTTGGGATCATTAACTTATTTCTTAAGAGTTGAGGTTCACTCTTCTCTCACTGGTATTTTTCTTCATTAGCACAACTATACGAAGGGACTCATTGCTTTGGCTGGTCTTCAAGTTGGTCGCTCTGCTGACACTCCTTTCGAAGTAAATGTCGAATATCAACAGAATAATGGTGAATTCCTATCTGAACCATCTCTATATCGACAACTTGTTGGGAGTCTAAATTATTTGACTATTACACGTCCTGATATTTCATTTGCTGAACAACAAGTTAGTTAATTTATGCAAGCCCCTGCACATCTTCATTTAGCTGCAGTTCGACATATTGTTCGGTATTTGAAAGGTACTCATCGTGGTTTGTTCTTTTCGGCGAAGTCTCCTATCAACTTAACAGCATATGGTGATGTCGATTGGGCTGGTTGTTCTGATACACGCCGATCTATTACTGGATGGTGCATGTTTCTCGACAACTCTTTAATCTCTTGGAAGAGCAAGAAACAAGATCGAGTGTCTAAGTCATCTACTGAATCAGAAATCGATATCGTGTTATGTCATCTGCTTGTTCTGAGATCATTTGGCTTCGGGGTGTGCTAGCTGAGCTTGGTTTTCCCCAGCTTGAGTCTACTTCTCTTCATGCAGTTAATACAAGTGCTATCCAGATTGCTGCTAATCTCTTCTTTCATGAGCGCACTAAACACATTGAAGTGGACTGTCATTCCATTCGAGAAGCTTATGAGGATGGTGTTATATCTCTTCCTCATGTCACCTCTGTTCTTCAAACAGCTGATATATTTACTAAAGTTCTTTCTCGACAGCGTCATCAGTTTCTTGTTGACAAATTGATACTTCTTGATCAGACAACATCAATTTGAGGGGGGATATCAATCATGAGTAAATAAAGAGTTTCCTTTTTCATAATACTGCAAAAAAATAAATATTATATTGGCATGAAATCTTTCCTTTTAGCTGAATATTTAAATTAGGCACATGTATTAATTAAGTTACCTAGAATAGTTTATACAGAATATTATGTACCTCAGAATATTATGTACCTAAACCTAAAATAGATTGTACAGACGATTATTTATTGGAATGAAAGCAACGGAAAACGCATTCAGTCTATTTGTTCAAAAGTTGATAGTGATAATAAAAAATTGAGTTTGAGCCAAAGCCAACTCACTTAAAATTGACGTCATGGCAACCATGGCTTGATGTGCAGTTGAAGAGATTTCAATAAAAGGGGTTATTTGGTTAGAAATACTTAAAATGCATGTATTTTAGAAATAGAAGGGATGTTCGATTGGATATAAATCAAAAGGACTAAAATGAATTTGTGTTAATTTTGATACGTCTCAAATGCAGTGAAACACAATGGTAGCGAACAAAAGGCCAAGTGCAGCAGCAATAAGCGAAGGTGAGATCACAAAATTCCTACATTTAGAATTTTCTCGATTTGAATGCTTTCCAAATTTTTCAAAAAATGGACATTTTGGAATGTTATAAATCCGCTAAATGAACGCTTTCTATTTGATTTAGTTCAAAAAAATAATAATAATAAAAAAATAAAAAAAACTTCAAAACTCATAATTTTCTTACTTTACATTCCTGAAACTTGCAACCTTATAGCCCTTCTGTATTTTTAATCTATGCAAGATAAGGGACAAAATAAAAAGATGCCTGAAATTTAACCAATTTATGAAATAGCAATATTTCCTAGTGTTTGTAATCTTTCCCAAGGTATACTATATTCCCTTATTCATTTCATGTTAGGTCCATGCCTCCTGTTGTGTCTGTGCTTCATAGTGCAGCATTTATTCCATTACATGCAAGAGATAGGTGAGAATAAAGCTTGAGAAAATGTTTCAATTCATGCAGAATAATTACCAGGGAGCTGTCATACTGTAAGCAAAAAACAGTGTCAGACCTTGTATAGGGTGTCTAAGATGAGAAGATCGAGTTGTCCACCTCCGTCCTTTGAAATAACTATAAAAATTAAATAAACATAAAGAACAGTCAAGCAGTGAAGCCGTTAAACAGTAAATCTTTGGCATAAGTGAAATCCATGCAGCACAAATCAAAATGGAAATTACTATGTTATTGATGCTACTAACCTAATGTATTGACAATGACTACGGGAAGGAAGAAAGGAATTAAAATGTTAATAGTTTCATTTGCATTTCAGTTCGCATAACTCAGCCAATGAAATTCACGACCTATTGATATAGCCCAAAACAAATATAAACAGCAACCTAATCTGATGCTTGCATGTGGTGATGACTGAGGGTATAATTTGTTCAGTACAAACTTTACCACAAGGATTGATCTTCTCATGTAATCTGCTCTTTGAAAAAAAATATGAGGGAAAAAATGTGGTGATCATGGAGATCACCGAAGGCAATAATAAAAAAATCACTCTTTGCTCAAAGATTGACAAAACAATGGTTCTCTGAAATTGACATGGCATGATAACCCTCTATAAAGTAGATTGGGAAAAAACCAAACACCACCTCCCAAACTACAACCACTAGACGACAAAGGAAAGCACAAGAATGGCTGGGTGGCGGTGGTTTGGGAAGAGAAACACGGGATTCATATTAATTGCTAGGTAGACATTACAACAGAAAACTCACGCATGAATCTGGAATATCTGTATTACTAACTACCTATAAGTTCAGCAAAAGCCAGCGCTTTACACATTCTAGTTACCCTTGTAATGTAATTAATATGCCTTCTAAGTAAAACTCAAATCACATAGAAAAAGTTCAAGAACCGGGTTTTATATATCTCCACCTTCTATATAAATATATAAATCTAACTATTGTTACACACCAACTAACCCCCTGGTAGGGTCAATCGTGGTGTGACTGAGGCTAGTAATTTGGTCATACCAACTCAGACCAGCACTCATCCTGACTTTTATAATCAGAGCTCGGTGGGTGACGAATTAGTCTAACTGGATCGCCGTAACATACGTGACATATTGCATTTCAAATATATACTCATAAGCATGGAAATCATATTCATCCAAAACATGAAAACTATACAGAACTGTTAAATGCAATATAACAAAAATATGTACCCAAAATACATGTACAAGCTATCAAAATTAACATGCAAAAGCTATATAAAGACACACCTAACTACTCTTCCCGGTGCTCGTTGCTCTTATATGGAAGGCAACAAACAATAAAGAATGAGCAACAACGAGCTCAGAGAAATTATCAAGACCAACATAAAATTTTGTACATGAAAAAGAAACAAGTGCAATCAAACTATACATATCTACACAGATCATAACATGCTAGCATAATAAAAAATATGAAAAAAGAGCAGAAACAAAAATTAAGACCGCAGTGTAACATGTAGGTCATAAGCATGAAATCATAAGCAAAAAAATGCTCATAATTGATAATTGTATGTAATCGTAGCAATGTTTTTTCACAGATTTCATTTCATAGTAATGTTACTAGTGTAATGTATAAAGTTCAACTATTTTCATTTTCTTTCATCGTGAGTCATCACTTTATCCCAAAAGACACATAAACTATCAAAAAAGGTTGGGTTTCACCCAACATAACAGTTACCGACAACCCCTCTGATACTCACGGTTCTCTAACGTTCTGTCACCGCCAATTCCAACGGTTCCCAGAATTTCGTCCCGTATGAGTATCATGAGTCGGAAACACTATATCTCTGCATAATGAACTTGCAAGCACTTATGTAATAATTTATCCCCTAACATTCCTTGTGACATTTAAATCATCACTTTTGCATCAAATATTTATCAGACATTACATGTATCGTAAGCATGGGCAAGAGACATATCAAATAAATACCTGCAAGAAATTCATATTATATATACAGTCATACATATCACGATCTGATCAAAGCATTACATATATCGTAATAAAACTAAACGTGCATTTATAATTTCGATTGCAGGTATTCATTTATAATATGCAGAAAGTTCTAAATGCATCTATGTTAAAAAAAAATCATATGAAAACCTATAGAAGACATTTTTCTTAAATTAGCATAAGATTATTTCACCTAACTTGATAGAGCAGCCCTACGACGAGTGCCCACACGCTTCTCGAGTTTGTCGTCTCATATAGACAACTTGGAGCTTGTAGACAACATAGAATTTCATAAAATTTAACTCATAACATGGTTAGCATAAAAACATGCATTAAATGTCAAAACATACCTTAAAAGAAATTTTCGTGATAAATTTTCCTTTTCTGAAAATATCTAAATTCTCTCCAACACTTCCAAACACCTTAATCTTCACATTCCCTCATGATTTCGCGTTAAAACCAGTACGAAAGCTTACAAAGGACTTTCCAACATTTCCTGCACACAATCAACGCCTTCGATGGCTACCAAAAAATATAAAAGTATGAAAAACAAGACAAGTGGACCTGGAGCCCCAAAACGCGAGCAACAACACCTAGCGATCACTCAGTTTACTATTCGCCCGATAATACTCGTGCCCTTGCACTGTAAAATTGGTCACAGGGCTCACCTGCTTCAACCGTGACAGACAAGGAGAGGGGAATCATAAGAGAGGAAAATAGGGATAAGAGTAGAAATTTTGAAAACCCTAGACCCGTGCAATCAAAACCCGTGAATTAAAGGTGTAAGAGGTCTGTTGGCTACAGTAGCTGAGGATTAAGGGAGGGATTAATTAAAATAATTAAGATTTTATTATTTTAATAAAACTTATAATTTCAATATTTTATATTTCTCAAACCTTTCTTAATTTACATGTAGTGCTTTATATCGAATTGCTTAATTTCATGCGTAGAATTTTATAAAATTGCTTCAAGCATATTCTAAGACGTGTGAAATTTGAGGTATTTTTAAAATTTGTCAAACTTACTTGATTTCTCAAAATTAGATATTACAGCTCTCCCCTGCTTATAAAAATATCCTCCTCAAAATTGTTGGCTTTACTTGAAGAGAGGGATATTTATGTAGCATGTCTTCTTCTTTTCCCACGTTACTTCCTTTCGAGGGCTGTAATTCCACTGTATCTTCATAAAAAGAATCTGTCTATTTCAGAGCTTCTTAACATCAGTTGCTAAAATCTTTTCAGACTCTTCAATATATGTTAGATTTTCTCATAATTCGATTTCATGTGAAATTCTCTGCTATGAATTTGAAACTCATTTCCTTAACACGGAAATGTGAAACACATCATGATTTCCGCAGGTAACGCTAATCTGTAGGCAACTGGACTGATCATTTCTATAATTTCAAAAGGACCATTATACCAAGAACTCAGTTTGCTTCCCTAACCAAATCAAGTTGTACCTTTCATTGGCCTGATTTTCAAAGATACGAAATCTCAACCATCAAATTCAATTGCTTTGTGCTTTAGGTCCTAGTCTTTTTGTTACTGATCCTAAGCAGTTTTCAATCTATCTCTAATTAATCTGATTTTCTTTATGGCTTCATCAACTAACTGAGGACCTAACATTTGACGTTCACCCACTTTAACCCAACTGAGTGAAGTTCTGCACTTTCTGCCATACAGTGCTTCATAAAGTGTTATTTTGATACTAGACAAATAACTATTGTTGTAGGCAAATTCGATCATTGAATGTGATCTTCTCAACTACCTCCAAAGTCGGGAAAATAAAGCCTTAACTGATCTTCGAACACCTGAATTGTCTTTTATGATTGTCTGTCGATTTGTAGATGAAATACAATATTGAAATGTAACTGCATACCCAAACTTTGTTGAATGTCTTTCCACAACCTAAGCGTAAATCTTCCATCTCTGTTAGAAACAATAGTTTTTGGAATTCCATGAAATCTAATAATTTTTTGACAAATAATCTGACCAGTTTTTCTAATGAATATGTTTGTTTGATAGACAAAAATTAAGTTGACTTTGTTGATTTGTTATAATGACCCAAATGCTGTCACGATCCTGCTGGATCAAGGAAATCCCACGAAAAAATCCATAGCAATTTCATCCAATTTTAATTCAGGCATCGACATTGATTATAGCAATTCATTAGATATCTAATGAAAGGTCTTTACAATCTGACATTCTTAACATTGAGATACATATTCAACAACATCATTTTTTATACCTGACCACCAGCAAGCCAATTTCAAATCTTTGTATATTTTTTGTGTTGCCTGAATGAATTGTGTAGCCCTAAATGATGATCTTCATGCAAAATTTCTGCTATCAAATCATAATCAGCAGGTACTCATATCAGTGGTTTATTTTGGATAATGTCATCTTCATCAGCAGAAATATTGCCATCTTTCTATATTGACACTGCTTTAGGAGTTTCAAATATTCGTAGCTAACCTTTTGTACTGCCTTGATTTTATTACTTAAAGTTAGTTGCACTGCCAGTTGATGTAAATAACTCATATCACCTGATTTTCTAACTTCCAACTGTAAAGCATCAAGTTTATTAACCAACTTTGGCCTCCGAGTAAGAATCCAACTCACACTCCCTGTGGATTTACAACTCAATGCATCAGCAACTACATTTGTTTGGCCCTGATAATGTTGTATATTTAGATCGTAATCTTTGATCAACTCTACCATCTTCAATGCATCCAAATTCAGTTCATTGAGTGAAAATATACTTCAGAATTTGATAATCAGTGAAGACTTCACATTTCACGCCATACAAATAATTTCGCCAAATGTTGAGAGTAAACACTACATCAGCTAACTACAGATCATGTATCAGATAGTTCCTTTCATGTGGCTTCAACTGTCTGGATGCATAAACTATCACAATTTTATTCTGCATTAAAATGCAACCCAAGCCTCTTAATAATGCATCGCCATGAATCTGAAATACTTCTGTGCCTGATGGAAGAGCTAACATTGGTGTTGCAATCACATGTTTCTTCAACTTTTGAAAATTATACTCGTATTCTGTAGTCCACTCAAACTAAACATCTTTTCTCATCAGTTTGGATAACAACATTTATTTGTGAAAATC